TATTTCATTGATTCTTTTATGTGAAAGATGGATCCCATGTCAGACTGTGACATCCGTCTTGTGTTTAAATTACCGCCAAGAGACCGTAAACTGCAGTGCAAAAGATGCGTACACCTCTGAAATAACTTTCCTTGCATTATAACCTTGGTTATGTCAAAACTGAGCTCAAGATAAACATTTTCAACCTTTTTCTAATTATCATGAAAACATTCCTCCATAGGGCAAAAAAAATATATAATTTATAATTTACTAGCTGAAGTGCCCGGTGTTTGGCCGTGGAATTTCAAAACAAAATCGATTGGAGCACAAAAAAATTGAGTTTTGAAAAAAAAAATAAAAAATGTTGAAAGAAAATAAATTATTTTTTTTAAATGTCGACATTTTTGTAGCCTATGTAACTTCCCGGGCACTTATTTGGTCCAGTCGTTTGGCCAGCTATGACTAACATAAAAATATATATGAGCGAAGAGCTTTATTATAAAGATTATTATAAATAATTTTCACAGATATCTGGATCTCTCTCTATTCTAACCATACAATTAATGAATTCCTTCACAATTCGGTGAAACATAAACTATTTAACCAAGACGAATCAAGATTTCTTCAACAATGGTTTAACTAGTAATCCAACCACATTCCTAAAAACTTGTTGTTGCCAATATATTCGATCTTCCATCTTTTAGCAGGGAAACCTTTACAAAGGTCGATATTTGCTCCAGGGGTTGCATGAGGAAAACCATAAATATAATAGAAAAAACGTATAATTGGTGTTTCATAATAGACGCATCTTTTCTTCATAAGATAAGGGTAGCTATATTTTTCTGCAGAACATTAGAACATGTCTGAATATATACTTTATGTCGGAATACATACTTTATGTCTGAATATATACTTTATGTCTGAATACATACTTTATGTCTGAATACATACTTTATGTCTGAATACATACCTTATGTCTGAATACATATTTTATGTCTGAATATCTACTTTTGGAGAAACGTAAGTGTCGTGTCCGATATTTAACTGTCCCCTTAAAACTTTGTCTCATCAAGAAAAAAAAGAAAATTATTGTGAGTTTTTATAAAAGTGACGTGTGGCTTTCTGCTGCTGAAACAATGGAGGAAACTGGGAAAATTCAACATATTTGAAGCTAGAAAAAACGCCGATTTTTATTGCATTAAAAATTTCATCGACTTTCTCTAAAAGTCCTAATTGTTATGCTTTTAGCCTCCCCCTGTACCTTATGCAATAATAGATTTTGCACATTATCTATGCATATTTACAATGCAAACTAACCCCCAGCAGCTTGAAGACCAGAGCACAAAGTTTATGCCGAAGAGCTCGACTTAAGATCGGTTTCACTCTCTTAAATTCGGAATTTAAAGGTTGCTTTAACTGTCGCCTCTGAAGATGCTGTGAGACATGAATCAAGTATATTTGCCACTAACGAGCTGAGTAGGTGAGGAGCTGGGATGGAAAGTGAAGAAAATCAACATCTGAGAACCGGCCTTTAATTTCAATATCATATTATATTGGATTTCGTCTCAGAAATTAATCATAAAAAAAAACAAGTTTATTCTCCAACAATGCAGAGTAAGGCCCATAAAACTATGGAATAGGAAGATGGCTCCAAAGATATTTCATGTGTTTTCATGCTATTATAAAGAAAATAATGTTACAAGTAAAGCCAAAAAATATTAAGTGAAATGGGGTAATGTTTTCTGTAGTATTATGGATCTAGTATTTTTTAATAATGTGTTGACCAAAATATTCAAGTTAAAGCACAAGTCAGCTATAGGGTAAGACACCATTAGAGTTTAAAAACTTTTCAATGATGATTGATAATTGGATCTTATTTTTTTAGAGGGAATAACCCCCCCCCTTACCCCCATTAATACGCTATTTGTGTATGTTTAAATAGTTTATGTTAGTCTCTGCAACGAAAGTGTTTTGTAGAAGAAATAAAAACATTTAAAATGGATCTCATCACTTAAGAATCTTTAGACAGGGCTGGATGGAATTGATGAATTTTCGTGGGATATAATCAACAAGACGATTTCTCAATCCGCGACCTTTAACAGATGAATCTTTTTTTTTTTCTTTTTCCAGGGGGGGGGCTAAGCACCCGTTGGGGCCTGAAAACCTCCTGAAATCAATAGATTTCACTGGTCCAGGGGGGGCTTAGTCCCCATAGCCCCCCCTGAATACGCCTCTGGGCGGTATGTTTTCTGCAATGCCAGGAACCGATTGTTATGATGGATAAGAAATGCTTGATTCAACACTTGACATAGTTTCTTTTGTAATTTTTTAAAACATTGAATTGCATGCAATTTCAAGCTGTTTTATTCAAAATTTGTGATATTTTAAAGGAAAATCTCTTTGAATTATTAAAAACTCAGAATGAGCATCCTATTTTTTTATAATTTCTACTATAGCCTTAAAATAATAAAACATCAAAGTTTATTAAAGATACCGGAAGAGGTAAAGAACATGTGGGTGAAAAAAATCAACTTTCGCTAAAGCATATACAAGCGTATACACGCTTCAACAAGTTTAAAATATGCATACAAGTCACTCATAATATCTCCGCTCGTAAATATCCCGCCAATTAAACTCTCGTCGTTGCCCAAGCGCGAAAACAATTGCGGCATTTGTACCCAAGGTTCGTGAATCTATCCCGGCATTCTCTGCGTTCTTGCGCAACACAATTGACCAAGTTCAATGAATCTTCACTCCAGGACATTTTAGAACTGAGTATATAAGGGGGATAGGTTTTTTTAAGGGAGGGGAAGTAGGAGAAAGAGTCATGTTTTAAAAGACGCAGGTTTAGTAGACAACATCTAAGCATAAAACATTTTTATGGGGAATGCATGAATTATGCTTGAAAATACTTCTATTATACTGGGTTTGAAGGAAAGATGAGAAGGGTTTACGTATGAACAGGAAGGTATGACAAAACACAACAATAAACAAATTTATTAATGTTGCATGTGTGTCTTGGCTTTGTAAAAAGTCGGCTTTAAAAATTTTCTTACAAAATAAATTTGCATTTTATAATCTGTAAACCTTATCTGATGGTAATATTCAATGTCAGTCAGGAGGATTGGATTATGTGAATTTAATTTTCTAGGTTTCGATAATTATTTCGTAGATTTCCCCCAAACTAATTTTCGTGATGATGAGACCAGACTTAAAGGGACTGTAAGCGTAATTTCAAGTGACCCTCCATGCAAAGATGGCAATGTCTGATTCACAACGGTACCCTTGAAACTTTTATCGGCTCAAGTATGAATTATATATCAATGTTTATAAATTTGAAAACTTATTATTTTAAATTGTGGTTTCTCTACTATAGTGACGTATGCCCAATTCTACTGGAGGTAAGCTATATTGTAGGAACAATCAGAAGTAAACATTTTCAAAACTAGAAAATCAAAAATATCTTCCACATTTTTAATTGAATTAAGGCTTCAAGGATACCGTTGTAAATCGTAGAAAACTGGAGCATGATGAATTCAAGATTAGTCACCCTGTGGAGCAGAAGTGTGCATATGTTGGCCTAAATGATGGATTTTTACACAATTTTCAATCATTATTTTTACGTCAAATTATCACTTTTAAATACTACGAATAGCCAAATTAGAAAGAGATAAAAGTTGTTGTAAAAATTTCGATGCATCAGCAATGAATGCGCGCATCTAACGCAGACATATAAGCAAACTAAGGAATGGCTCTAAATGTGCGTATATACGGTATATATACTATATACTGATGTATATAGCATTGCCTAAAACCCAGGAAACACTTGGTTCCAAGGAATGCTTTAATTGATGTTTAATTGTTTGTTAATCTTATAACTATAAGGTGTCCTGTTCACAAACATCGTGGACCCTTCGTTTTTATAAAAAATACAAGAAGTTTACATTTTTAGTTTTAATTATTTTGTTGTGATCAGAAATCAGAAACACCTTGTAAACTGTATATCACAGGGTGTCCCAATAAAAATGGGAATTAAATGACGACTTCTATATCGTCTATGTAATATCCAAGTTAATAGTTAGTCACGGGATATCCAAAATGTGGTCTACCCTTTTTTTCCCTTCAACATGGACGAAGATATTAGGAAATTTGTCCAGATTCCAGTTAATGAAAAATCAACATAAAAGTTCAATTTTTTAATAATTCTTCAATTTTAAAGATACAAAGAAGGTAGACCACATTTTGGAAAGCTCATTAGACTTTCAATCTTTATGTCATTTAGGAATTATCGAAAATCAAATTAGTTTTTTAAGTCGTCCCTGAATTCCTTTGTTTCTTGAGACACCCTGTATAAGAGTGTGAGAACTCTAAAAGATAATCGGTATATTGTTATATTTGAGCCCGTTATACACTGCTGCAGTAGATAATCTTAATGCTTTGTTACTTATACTCTACACACAGCTCTATATATATATAGTATATAGTATATAGTATATATAGTATATATATATACATTAGACAATACAATTACACAAATTAAGCCGGAGCCTAACAACATAATTTTGTGATATTTTAATTTTCCTTAAATACAGTGTTGTAATTTAGAAACAGTTACAGCTAGGACTACGAAATATGTTAAATTGAAAACAGTTACAGCTGGGACTACGAAATATTTTAATTTGAAAACAGATACAGCTGATGCCGCAATGATTAGCTTTCTAGTAATAATCATAAGTACTGTAAACTAGACAGAACGAAAAGGTAAACTGTAAACTAGACAGAACGACTTTGTGACCTCGTAGCTCCTCTAGTTTTGATTTTAAGCCAAGTAGGGAAGAAAAAAAATATCCGTTTCATGTTATTAATTTAAAAAAAAACATTTTTTCCTCAATAGCTCTTAAAGAAGAGATGTGTGATGATTGAAAACGTACAATTAACTTCAGCTTGACGGGGTGTAATGTTGATATTTAGGAGGTGGGGGGTTGAGAATGAGGGACAAGAAAATAAAAAAACAATCCTACCTTAAATAGTTTCTCCTTGGTAAACCAAACATCGTCCTCCTCTTCCATCTTTGTATTGAGCTCATAGCTCAACTCATCTCGGCTCTGCGAGAGAATCTTACGTCGAGAAACCATCTGGATTAATAATCAATACATCACTGTGTTCGTAGCTTATCTAGTATTGATTTTATATACAAGTATGAGAAAACAAATTTAACCGATAATAGAATAAAAATTTATAACTGTTTAGTTCTTCTCACTAGCTCTACAATAAAAGAATTTATGATTAAAACATAAAAGATTGCAATCTTTAGTTTGATTTATTCCAAACTTCGGTAAATTCGGTATGTTGAGCCGCCCTTTGAGCAACAAGAGAATATTATTTAGTTACACATTTAACTCGTCTTAGAGAGGTATTACGTTAATGTTAAACTGCACGTTAGATTGAAATCCTATATATGTTTTTATCTATTCTTTCAACTTTCTTCGTCTTTATTTGTGTGTGTGTTAAAATAATTGATTTTCCTTGTTGATATCTCCACAGCCAATCAATCATTCACTCACTGACTCATTTCTTTATACAAAACACAGCACTCTGAAAAATAAAATATATTAAAATGTTTTGTTCTAATGGAGACTTCAACGGTAACTGAAGAGACATCGTATTTGTATTATCTATTTAAACTAATGCTAATATTAATAATAATAATGATAATAATGATAATAATAATGATAATAATAATAATAATAATAATAATGATAATAATAATAATAATAATAATAATAATAATAATAATGATAATAATAATAATAATAATGATAATAATAATAATAATAATAATAATAATGATAATAATAATTCTAATAAAAAAAGGCTAAACCAATTGACACCGAAAACAATTTCCTGGGAAAGAGAGGAGTTGTAAATGAAAGGAAAACTAAAAATATTTATTGTGCTGCTGTTGATTCAAGAACAGCTGTTTTTTTTTATTATTTTCTATACAAATCCCAACCATATGGGAATTTAATTCTGTTTTATCCTTACTCTCAAAAAATGTGATTGTTCATGATTTCATTGTTTATGTTTTTAAAATTATTGTTTTCATGTTAAAAATTTTAAAACTCTTGTAAAAACTTTAAAACTCAAGCGAAACCCTTAGCAGTATATAACTCATTAAAAGTGACCCTCCATCCTAAGATGACATTGCACGATTCTAAACAGAACCTTTGAAACCTTTATCTGATCAAAAAAGTGGATAATATTGTCGTTTTTCCAAAATTAAAAGTATTTAATTCTGAAAATTAGTATATTTTTTCTGCAGTAGAAATGTGCAAGCCACTTTTGTAGAGAAACCAAAATTGCAAATAATCATTTTTCAAAATTATTAACATTGATATATAATTCATACTTGATCAGACAAAGCTGTACATGGGACCGTTGTGAATCGGGCATTGCCATTTTCGCCATAAAGGGTCACTTCAACTTAAAAGCTCATGGAAAGACTGAAGAGAAGGATTAGAAAATGCAAGAATATTTTAATTTACAAAAAAATGTATGTGTTCAAAAAAAGCACTAATTAAATTACAAAGCATTCCCGTTAACAAACTAAACAAAAGATGTTCTTGAAAAACTTAAGGATTATCTAATCAAAAATTGTGAACTCTCACTTTAAAATGTAAATTTTGAAAGGTAATCAGTTAGACTTTAGAGATTACATGATTAGATTTCTTATAACACTCCCTTTTCTCCCGCCCCGCCTTAGTTGTGACATTTTCAACAAAGCGCAGAAAATTGCGTATTTTACAGACGCGGCATCTCTGCGCATTTTCCTCGTCTTCATCAATAATCCGAACATATTTAAAATGACAACAAAGACCAGCGCAAGGATGAGATTAGATAAGATTGGATTATATATTTTATATATTTACCAAATATGGTAATATTCGAATACTCAGAATAAACCAGTCTCCCCCCATTATTCTGATAATTTTTGATCAACACTAAAAAATGGTGGTTACCCCACATTTTTTTTAACCGGAAATAGGTTATGAAATGAACCAAGCTTTGTCACGATCTCAAACTTTATAATCCCTATATTATTGCAGCCTGATATTTTAAAACTTTAATATTTCAAACTTAAAATATTTGATTTAGTCAAATTCATCCTTTGAAATATCAAAGATCTACGACATTAGGATACAAAGATGTAGGGGATAGAAACTCAGAATTTTGATACCTATTGGATAGTAAAAATGTAATGTTTTGGTTCCCCCTGTTGTATATATATATATATACACATTATTCAGAACATAATTATGGAATCTGCACGCTTCGACCTTAACTTAGGTTCCATAGGTAGAGAAGGTACTGCACGGAATTGTGTGCATACCCTCATACATATACAACGTATTCTGCATGTTGTATTCTGTAAATTAAAATTTTGAATCCTGTATCCTTATACTCTGTATTCTGTATTCTGTAATATTTAAATTCTGGATTCTGTTTAAATTCTGTATCCTTATATCCTGAATCCAGTACTCTCGATTCTTAAATCTGAGTTCTGTATTATTTGCATTTGTTCTTTTCTGAATTTTGTTTTTTGCAATCTCTAAATTTTGTGTAATGTAATCTTTTATCTCTAAATTTTGTGTAATGTAATCTTTTATCTCTAAATTCTGTGTAATGTAATCTTTTATCTCTAAGTTCTGTGTAATGTAATCTTTTATCTCTAAATTCTGTGTAGTGTAATCTTTTATCTCCAAATTCTGTGTAATGTAATCTTTTATCTCTAAATTTTATGTAATGTAATCTTTTATCTCTAAGTTCTGTGTAATGTAATCTATTATCTCTAAATTCTGTGCAATGTAATCTTTTATCTCTAAATTCAGTGTAATGTAATCTCCATTTTGTTAACTTTTTTATCTTATACAATTTGTGATTTTTATTTTCTAATTTCTATTCTATATTTTTTCTTTATTTTCTGTATTCTGATTTCCAAACTCTGTTTTAAGACTTTCCTATTCTACATTTATTATGTATTCTCCAATTTGTATTCTGTATTCTGCATTTTGTCAGCTTTATTCTGTGTTTGTGTCCGTCAACAACGAATGCATCGAAACGATCGCATTACGATAGCAATCACTTATCGTCAATGATCAAAATTACCAACGATTTTAACGTTAGAAAAAGGTGAACATCTTAGGCAATTGCTACATCAAAAACGAACTTTTTCAGTATGAATTTGGAAAGTGTAAAGTAAGAGAGAGGTATAAACGACGAACGATAGAACCCTCCAAAAACCCTTGTTATCAAATTGTTTTCAAAAATCACAAATATTTGGCCAGCCCTAAAGTCAAGCTGGCTTTAATCACATAAATGTTTGAAATCCGAAGATTAAAGGTTAGAAAGATGAAAGAAGAGATATTAGTTGTATGTTCATTTACTCATTGTGACTAGCGCTCCATGCACTGTGGTCTTCCTTGGGTTCATGGAAGAGAAGGGGTTGTTTCCTTTTAAAGGGACTGTTAATGTAAATATAAATGACCTTTATCAAGTCAATAATGTAGATAATGTTGTCGTTTTTCTTGGTTTAAAACTGATTTATTCTGATAATTTCTATATTTTTTGGCAGTACAAATTGGTAAGTCACAATTGATATTAATTGGTTTTCAAATTTAAACTTGATGTCTAATGCATACTTTATCAGGCAAAGTTTTCAAGGGTACTGTTGTGAATCAAGCATTGTCATCTTTGCATGGCGGTTCACTTGAAATTACGCTTACAGTTCCTTATATTCTCTTTTTAATCTCCAATCTTCCTCTTTATCTAAAACTTTTTTTCATTATCTTATTTTTTAGTTTAGGGCCCTCGCTTTGAAAAGGTAACATTAATGATGATACAAATAAAATCGAAAAGAAACGTTTTTAAGTATAAAAAAGTATTATTTTGACCATTTGATACTGAAAATAAACAACTATAAATAACGATAGATTAAGAAATCATAGAAACATTTAGAAAATGAGATTCCTTCGTGTTTAACTTATATAAAAAAATATCTATATAATAAAACAAGACATTCTTATATATATATGTAACCAAACGGCTGGACCGATTGGGCTGAAATCTTTTGTGGGCACTCATGGGGGGCCGGGGGGTGTTATAGGCTAAAAAAATGTAATTTTTTTCTTCAACATTTTTTTCCACGGGCAACGCCGGTCCCTTCAGTTAGATTCTTATAAAACAGCTCTTTCTACCCCTCCAAAAGGCAGGATAGGGCTACGTTTCTAAGTAATTTAAGTTTTCAAATTAGTTTATAACAATGGTCTACATACTGAGGGGTTAGTTTATTTAAGACCATATGTAGGATTAATATATACTTTCTATTTGGCTTTATTACAGTGCTATATATATATATATATACAGGGATAGAAATAAATTGATTAAAGCATGTGCTTCACGACTATTGAGATATGTGCAAAACAAATTTGCAAGTTTCGCAATGATGCAAAAGGGTTTAAAGATCGACTTCTCAGGTTACTCTTACCTAAAAACTGCAAAAATAAAAAGGGACCAACACAGCCAACAATTTCGCCAAATTTTTTAAGTTGGAATATGGAATACTTTGATCAATAAACATCATCAATAAAAATATAAAAATTGTATTGTTTAGTTTAGATAAATAAACACTCTGAAACCATATTCACTAAAAATATGTATTTGGATTTAGTTCAGTGCACAACTGAAAATCAATTTAAATATTTTGAATATTTAATCACATTTTTTTACAAAAGAATAAACTAAAAAAAACCAGACATGGCGTTCAAAAATTGTTTTAACAATTTTTGAAATTCTATGCAAAAAAATGCATAATAATTCTGCCACTAAATTGGCGATTTTTTTTAGATAATTTATGGGTTTACTAAACTTTTAGTGCTGTAGGCATTGTTCTGAAGTGGTATTTAAATATTTTTTTGGACACCCGGGATCCACGGGAATTATCTTTTTTGGCATGATTGAACATTACGTAACCATAATTATGCATGTTAATGATATTCTTGTTTTTATGTTGTAATCACTAATTACTAATTAATGTATTTAATCAAAATAATTTTTTTTAATAATAATTTTCATACTTTTTAATTTAGATATTTCGAAAGAAAAAGAGTTGCCTTTACTAATCTTTTTGGGTTCAACAAACATTTTTTAAACTATGTTTTTATTGTTTTAGGATTTATTTTGTTTCTAGTTTTGGTTCACTCACTGTTTATTCTCAAAGCAAAAAAAACATTTGTCCTTTACGAGTCGATATCTTGAAAGTCATGAGAGTGAATAAAGTAAAGTCAACTCATTCGTGAGACTTTTCCTGAAACCAAACTAAGCTCATGGGAAATTACAGTTATTTTACGAATGTGTGTAAAAAGAAGTCAAAGATGATACTTAAAAAGTGAGTTAACACTCAAAAACTTTAAAAGTTTAAGGTTGGTAGAGATAAAAAAATTAATTTAAGAAAAATTACTAAAATGTATAGTAGTGCAGTATAAGAACGTCACAATTGTTTTGTTGTTGTTAACGTTAAAGGGCACGTTTAAGACCCCCAAGATTCGAACGAACAGGTTGGATATATTTGTTTCAGCCGTTTCCACGATTTGAACGACGGATTTGGAAGGATAAAGAATACTGTGTAGTTTTACGAAAGTATACCTTTTATCGTATTTAGCCGCCGTCGTTGTATATATACATTGCGTCACTTGCACTACACTTCACTGCGTCACTGTCAGGGATATACTGAGATACGTTGGGATACGCAGATATACGCAGAAGGTAGAACTCAGCTGCCTCATGCGTCAAACAAACACACTTACACGCACAAACCCCATTTATCTAAACCCAGTTCTAGATTCGTCCAAAACAACTGCGAGCAAAAACTATTTTGGTTCATACAAATTTATCATTTTTATAATTTTATACGGACTTTGAGCGTTATTTAAATTCACCTCCATGCTAAGATGACAATGCCTAATTCCCGATTTACAACTGTACCCTTGCTTTCTTTATCTAATCAATAATATGGGAGATATCTTAGTTTATCTAGGGTCAAAATTAAGTGCTTAGTTCTGTTAATTCCTATATGTTTTCCTATAGTAGAAATGTCCAAGTCACTGATGTTGTAAAAAATACACAATTTGTAACATAATAAGTTTTCAAAATTATAAACATTGATATCAAATTCATACTTGATCAGACACAGATTTTAAAACTGTGCAGGGTACCGTTGTGAATTGGGCATTGCCATCTTTGCATGGAGGGTCACTTAAAATTGCGCATACAGTTCCTTAGGCATAAAATATTTTTACATCTTTTAAATGAAAATCAATGAATTAATGTTTTATTAAATTCAAGAAGCAATTTTTCAAATAGTTAGTTAAAAAACGATCAATTTTGCTTCGATCAGGCTTTTTTAACTTCAGCTAGAGTTCGAATTTAATGAATTTGAGCCGCGTCTCAAATCCGTCAAAAACTGGTTTCAATTTAGCGCCGGCTTGAATGTTGAAACATTGAATACAATTTTAAGTTGAACCAACCATATTTGAGCCGCGTCTCAAATTCTTTAACTTCAGCCATAAATCAGTGATTTCGCGATTTAATAAAAAAAGTTAACTTGTGGATAAAATGGTTGTATTATATTAGAAAAAAGCCAAAACACTTTTCAGATTCAAAAAAGGATGAAATAAAACCAAAACCTAAAGTTGATTTTAAACCTGAGCTTGATGTTAAAATTTAAGTTGGAAGGGTTGAGTTCTGACTGAAATGACCTTGTTCAACTTTAACAAATATGATACACAGTGGTTCCCATGGTAAACAAAACCTTTACATATATGGATGGGTTGTAATTATCTTCAAATATATATATTTACATATTTATTGTCTTTGTATTCTCCTATCTCAGTAGCTAATGGCTTAAGCAGGGAGTCTTTAAAACCATAATATTGTTTCTGATCACAAAAGTAAAAAAAAAGATTATTATATTAAAAATATTATATAATAATATAAAAATATAATATTAAAATATTATATAATAACAAGGACCAAAAACTAGAATTATCGGCTGATAATAAATGCTACAGTTATTTCATTTGGTTCTCCATTTTGATTTCATGAACTATTATTTTTATTATTATTTTATTATTACACAATTTGGTGCGATATGTAAATGTGAACTATATGGAAAGGGTCAAATTTCTACAACAGACTGGTTCAACTTTATGACGTCGTAGCGTATTTTACGCACAAGTATGAGACAAATTTATTTATTTAGTTACTTTTTAGAAATTAAATTTTTCTTCTTCTTTATAATAGCTCTTGAATAAGAGGAGTTATGATTGACAGCGTAAGGTTTAAACGTGCAATTTACTTACTTTGACGTGAAATAACAAGGTTCTGAAGTTTGAACTAAGAGAATAAAAATAATCCCAACTTCATTTTTCTTATTTTTTCCACTTGATCAGTTTTGTTCATCTATTCTTTGTTTAGTATTTTCGATGAATATTAATAAATTTGATTACTCGAGTGGTTTCCATAAATCAGTTTACTGTTATATTTCTATGTAAAGGAGACAATGCAATTGTTTTTGTCGGAGTGATTTAAACACCAATTTCAAGGTGTATTTATACCTTGAAGGATTTAGGTCACTTCTCAATACAGTACTTCCTTAACGGTTTTAAACAACGCTATCCTCGAAGGATTAGACTAAAAAATCGATTGCTTGGAAGCTATCCATGGACTTTATTTTTTTGGAGGAAGAACGCCAAGTTAGCCTTACTTTCGTTATATATAAATAATTACAGGTTTTCATTAAAGCCTTAATCTTTTTGGGTATCCATGTTTCACATTCTACATTCAGTTTTTGGAATCTTATAAAAAACTTCTTTTACTATTTTGTACATAGTGGGCCAAACTCTTAAACAAATGATAAGTGGTTTAACTGGGAATAGATAGTCAAACTACTCTTCCATTTGGGTTGCCGGGTGTGCACTGAAGAGGTGTAGTTAAATTGAATATATCTCACTATTTAATAAATCTGAACTCGAGTCCATTCTTTGGCTATGTTTTGTCTTAAGCTCTGATGATAAAAAAAACATGGACAAGTTTTATAGTTGAATTCGGTTAAGAGGAAACGGGGCGTTTAATAGATTTTAACCATATCATTTTAAGGAACTGTAGTCATAATTTTAATCGAGGGGCATGTACGAGTTATCAAGGTACCCCCTAAATCAATGTCTGATGAAGAATGGAGAAGATACTCGTGTGTTTCTATTTGAAAATTGTTTACTTTCAATTGTGGTTTCTCTACAAAAAGTAAAGTTGGAAAAACGACGATATCTTTTCAAATTTTTTTCAGAGTATCGTTGTGAATCGGGCAACCCCCTCTTAAAATGAAAGGTCACTTAAAATTACAAGAACATTCCCTTGAAAAAGGATTTACTCGTTTAATATATTTACTATTTAATTTACATATTTATTTACTAATTAATTATTTAATATTTACTTCAGAAAAGAAAAAAATTTGAGATTAGCGAAGCTAATTTACCAAGAAGTTGTAAACTTTTTATATAAAGTTCTTTCAGGGTAAATTNGTATAGGAGGGGACTGGTAAAACAAATTACAATCGCTCAAGTATTGCTTTAATGTCGTCTTCCTATTCCACAGTTTTATGATTCTTACTGTCTTCCTGTTTAAAACATAAAACATTTAATTTTTGCATTACTTAAAAATCCCCATGATTTGACAAACCCATAAGCTTAAGCTTAGAATATCAGATCTCACTTTTTTTTCCCCCATGGTTTTCGTATGTTTGTTTGACTCTCATTGTCGGGGTTACTGTTTTGAAGTTTTTGAACGACAGATTTAACTATTTTTTCCCCATACAAGCTAATCCCTAGTTTGTTTCGCTTGCTAAATAATGTATGTATCCCATAAAATGAATTAGCATTCCTATTGCGTCCATTGTACCATATTCTCATATTTTAATAGTCATGTTGTTTGTATAAATTATTGAAAAATAAAACAGTAGCTATGTTCATTTAGGGTTGCAACTTTTGCTCTGTTTGGTTTTTTCGAAAGGTCTTTTACATTTAGACTTTAATCTTGCTTAACATGCATTGCTGCTGGTTTGACTTTTTTTTTAAATCATTGTTTAACAAAATATTTCTACACAGGTTCGAATGAAAATATTTAAACTAAACAACTATAGAAAATTTAACCCCTAAATAAGTACAATTTAATAATATTTATTATGTTTCTCATATATTAACTTATTTATAAGACGGTTATTTTGGTTCGCAGTGTTATAAAGTTTTTAAACAGAAATTTTCTCTTTATCGAGAAGGTTCTTGCCTTTTTAGAGTGTTTGGGTGACCGAGTGTTTGTTGGACTGAGTGTATGACCGGTTGTTGACCGTGTGTTTGTTTGACCGTATGTTTGTGCAGATGTTCTAATAAGGAAATATATCGATCTTGACAGCTCAGAAGATTTGCCAATTTCATGCTTACCTCCACAAATCATATCATCATTGTTCAAAGAAACATTGGATAGGACATTTCATCTTTTATAAACATTTTGTTAAGAAATATTAAATAGGATATTTCATTCTGCTTATCATCACTGTTCAACGAAATATTGGATAGGACATTTCATCTTTTATAAACATTTTGTTAAGAAATATTAAATAGGATATTTCATTCTGCTTATCATCATTGTGAAAAGAAATATTGGATAGGACATTTCATTTTCATTTAAACATTGTGCAAAGAAATATTACATAGGATATTTNTGGTTTACACTGTACACTGTACAGTGTACATACATTTAGATCTTCTTCCTCCACATGTACAATGGACTATGGAGCTGTACAATGTTCAGTTGTTCCGTATACTTGATATGCAGTACATGATCTAAATATATACGGAAACCACTCTTTAAGTAATATTCTAAATTTATAGTTTAGTTTTTTGTTTTTTGTTTTGTTTTTTATTAATATGTAGATTGCAGATAATGAACACAATTTTGAACATATTTTCATATTTTTTATTTGATACTACCTGCATTTTTACATTTTTTTTTCATACACATACTGTTCCATCATACTTTTATCAAAACAGATATATGTGAATAATAATACAGATGTGAATAATAAAACAGATATATGTGAATAATAAAAAAAACAGATATATTGAATAATAAGATAAAACAGAAATATGTGAATAATAAAAAATTAACTTCAAAGTAAAATATATTTCGGCAAAAGATTTTTTAATCTAAATAAATTGCAAACAACCTTTAATATCTAATAAAATGTATGGAAGACGACATTCGAAACTATTTACCAACTGTTATGTTTTGTGGGAGCAACCTTTAAACTTATATCTGGGTAAAAATGTGTAAACAAGCGTGGTTTTCTGTCTGTAAAAAGTGTTTAATTCCGACAAATTACACAATTATTTGTTAATCAGAAATCCACAAGTCTAGTGTTTTTGAAGAAAAATCACTTAATGGAAAATAATTAAATTTGAATAAGAAATATGGCTCAATTCATTTTTGATCATATACAGAGCTTATAAACATTAGTACAATTAAAAACAAGACTGTCTTTCAGAAATTTAATCTTTGAAACAAATATAAAATTGTCTTTCAAATATTTTATCTTTACACAAATATAAAGATGTCTTTCAAATATTTAATCTTTAAACAAATATAAAGTTTAAATATTTAAACTTTAAAACAAATATAAAGTTGTCT